GGATCACTGGGGGTCAAAATCGATTCTACAGCAGTGTTGTTTACTACTGTCTTTTAAACATGCAAAAATTGTACAACAAATTAGGCACCTGGCTAATGTTCTTCTCATTGTGTCCATGGCACCATTCTCTACATTTACTGAATAGCCAATGTCTGGTTGCCCTTCCTGCTGACCTTTTCACAGGATAAGAAAGAATATCTAAAGTACGCTGTGCTTGTCTGAAAGAAGCAGCTCGTTTGGTTCCAGTTTGGCCCTGGGCCTATGGGTGCATAGACTGAATGAGATTGAATGTCTGCAGTGGTCTTGGTTGTCCTACAGTCTTTAGCCAGTTTCTAAAAGTTCAATGTAGGCTCCTTTCTTCTATATTCTGAGGGAATTCTCTAATGTCTAGTCCTAACCATTATCCCAGAACCATCTCAGATTTATTTAGAGAGAAATGATAGATGTGTTATAGATTTGATCTTCAGAACTCAGTCTGAATTGAGGAAGAAACTTCTCAACTATGAAGGCCTTCTTTTTTTTTTTAGTCAGTAGCAGTGGTTTATTCCAGAAATTATTATTTTTTTTTTTTATTCCAGAAATTCTAAGTTCTATTCTTTTGCAGAGTACAGAAAAACAGCTCAGTCTCAGGGCTAACAATACACTTGTTTTGAGATCCCACCCACCTGCAAGATTGCTTCCAATTAGCAAGCAAGGCCATCAGAACAGAGTCTTTAGGGAGGGTCATACCATTCTGCACATCCCTGCTTGGCCTTGGGGTTCAAGGAACGGTTAAACTTGTTTTTGCTCCCTTTAAACACCTGCACATTTGAACCTAGCATAAAATGGCTACTTGCATAAAATGGCTGCAGTATGGCTCACTTTTTGACATCCTGCTTCCTTGAGTTGTTTTCTATATGAAGGCCTTCTTAATCTATAAGCCATCAAGTCAGAACTGACTCATAGCTGACCTTCCAGTGGGTTTTTAGAGGGATAAACTGCATGAGAAGAGACTGCTTACCTATCTCCCATGGAACTGCTGGTAGATTTGAACCAAGTACCTTTGGGTTGGCACTACACTCCTTACCACTAAGCCAATAGAGCTCCCTCAATTTTAATCTCAGGTCATACATTTAAGACAGAAATAGAACAACTAAAGAATTGTGAAGGCAATTACAAATTATGACCTTTAGCTCAACTGATGTTAAGTATTAAATGGAAAAGAGGTTCTTTGTGGAATCAGTATGACTACTTCTATTTCCTCCCAATCTCATCAAGCTGTCCCCTACCCCATGGTAGCCCACAATCCCCAAGGACACTTACTTATGCTTGCATACTTTGGTGGGATGCACTACAGAGTAAATATATTTTTATTTATTTCACATGGCTACTTGTGATGCTTAAAATTTCACTACTAGAAATTCTCTTCTGTTCAACTTTGGCTAAACAAAACTGAACTTTTCTTATAATTAAGAGCCAGAAGCATTTTCAACTTTTCTAGTCATTTTGAGATATGAGTAGAAATTATTCACTTTATCACTCGGCAAAATTTTTTTTGGAGTCCTTCGTATGTGTTGGGTACCATCAAAGTTAAGAAATCAAAGTCATTGCCTTGGAGTCTGAACCAATTAATAGCTGACCTTCCAACAGTGGCCTCCACTCCCTAAACAACATGCCCCTGGAAACTCTATGAACTTTGAGAAACGATGATAGTTATAGAAAAGCTTCAGGTCTTTTGTTCATAGGGTTGCTATGAGTCATGTTCAACTCAATGGCAATCAACAACAACAACAAATCATGCAATAGCTCATCTTTTTCTCATCAAACAGCTGAAGGATACTTACTGTCTGCCTTCGGGATAGACTGCAACTCCTTATCCACTAGGCCATCAGATCTCGTTTGCTGAGTAGCATGATAGATATTGAATATTGGGACATTAATGTAATTGCCATGAGGTTACTATCACAAGCTTACATTTTGATGTGGGGAGAGAGACCCCACATGACCATTGTACTAACTTAACCGTCATACAAGAAAATAAAGTCAGGTTAAGTGGGGTGGGGACTGATGGGAAGAGAAGAGTGTGAGAGAAGTGATTATAGAGGTGTTAGTGAAAAGGGTTTTTTTTAATAATTAAGGAGGGGAAAGTCAGGAAACGAAATTCAATGGAATCATTAGGAAAAGCTTAAGCATTTTTTAAAAGCTCATTCCTCAAAGTTAAAAGTATTTGAACTATAAAGAATGAACTTATTTTGGCAGAGTTTAGAAGAAAGGGCCACAGATTTGCTTTCAAAAGGCCAAAGTCCTATAATTTCCTTGGAGTGCAGCTGTACTGTGCAAAGTGTAGGGTCTGGCAAATGGCTTGAGTTATTTTGGTTTATGACATCTAGTCTCAATCATACTTAAATATTTTATCTTTAGTTAACATACACCTTAGATAATCGAAGGAGCCTTGGTAGTGTAGGCTCTAGAGAGCTGCAGTGCTAAAGGCCTTGCCTCTCCAGTGCCTTGACTCTACCAGCGACTCCACAGGAGAAAAGTGAGTAGTCTTTTCACTATGATTATCAGCCTTGGAAACCAATGGGGAGTCACTAGGATTCAGAGCACTGGTCAGTAGTGAGCTTGAGAGCTTTTTGAGTTTAGATAAAATATAGTCAGCTTAGATTTTCAGGAAATATAGAGGAGACAGGTAGGGTGATATTAAAAGGAAATGAATTAGGACACGGCAGGATCGAGTAGAGATACCACAGAGATTTAAGCAATGACAATCAAAAATCGTGTTATGGAGGTGACTGCCACTCAGGATGGCATCATGTGTTAACAGAGTAGAACTGCTCATAAGGTTTATCTTAGATGAGATCACGAGGCCTTTCTTCAACAGCATTGAGTGGGTTTCAACTTTCAACGTCTACATTAGGAGCCTAGAAAAAGCAATTTGAGCCACTCACATAAATCAATGTAGTTGGTTTCAACTAATAGTGATCCACTTTCTATGGAGCTCCGACAGCCTAAAGAGTATAGTGAGTTGCACTGCTAACTCAACAGCAGCTCTGAGTGTGAAAGACTGGAAGTTTCTCATGTGATTCAGAGCCTCTGAAAAACCTTTTGAGGGTCAGTTATAAGTTGGTTCTGACTTGACAGCAATGAGTAAGTAAATGATCAGCTTTCTGAGGCTACAAATTCTAACACCTGACTATCTTTCTCTCACAAGATTCAACCAACCAGAGGCCTGCAGCCTTTTGGTTACTAACCTATTACAAATTATACCATCAGTAGTAATCTACAGACTCCACAAAACGAACCTAAACCCAACCCCTCTCACTGCTGCTGAATCCACTCTCACAGTAATCCTGCAGGACAACTGCCCCATAGGGTTTTCAAGTCTGTAGATCTCTACGAAGAAAACTGCCAACTCCATCTCCCAGGCATAAGGGGTAGGTCCAACCCTTGACCTTCTGGTTAACAGCCAAGTACTAAACATCAGGATGCCACTGGTTTAATGAATCCCACTTTGTGTTAATAGCCAACATGTTTAATTGGAGTTTAAATACCAGCTCTGCCACTTAAAAGTCTGCAGCAATTTGAATGTTACTTAACTAGTTAATTTCCTCATCTGTAAAATGGAGATGAAGATAATTTCTCTCTTAAGTTTTCTAAAAATCTAAATCATTTAACAACTAGCATCAATCCAATTCCTGACATATAGCAGGCCCCCAATGTCAGCTATTACCATTAAATCCCATTTATTTCTCTTTTAAGTACATAAATGTTGACTGCCTAATCCTTTAACGTTTTTTCACATAAATAGGTAACAGAAAAGACTCTCTGACTCTTTAGTGCTTTAAATATATAGTCTGATATGATAGTATTTGCTTTTCCCTAATGGGGAAGAAAATGGCAAGTAACAGACATGCTTTTGTCCAGGCTACTTAGCAAAACAGGTAAATGCTGCATAAAACAATCTGATTCCTTTAGTTCAAGTAATTACTCAACTTCTTTTATCTTATTATATTGAATATTCACTTTTTTGCATATTCACTTTTCTAATGAACAATTTATGATAAACACACAACTATAAAAACATACAGTGTCACTTTGATAACCTTTCATGAAGAGGTTAAAATAATACATTGCGTTGTGTCATTTTCACGACTGGCCTGCCATCTTCTTCTTTTGTCATCTCTCTTATCAATAACCAGTTCATTTTTAGTTGATTTTTTTTTTTTACAAAGTCTATTTAAATATCTACTTCTTTTTGGGAAGAGAGCCGATGGCACAGAGGCCAGATGGGGAAGGAAAAAAAACCGTAGCAGTGCTTCTGTAGCGGGCCTGGCCAAAGTCCCTTTCCTGCGCCATGGTGGCCTATAGCCTCCTGGCTAGTTTATCCACTTCCTAGATCAACCGCTCACCAGGTAGGTACAGTGGGTGGAGACCGGGAGTACCTGGGCGAGGCACTACAACTCAGTTTACAAGTTTGAGGAGTGCCAAGTCTTATATTTTTTTTCACGTTTTCTTTTTAAAATATTTATGGGTCATGAACTCAGCCTAATAAATCGAAGAACATTTTCTCCAAAGAAAAAAAGAGCCATAAAGACCAAAATTCTGAATAGAGTAGCTTAGTATTTCTATTTAGCGATACTTTGAGCCTCCAAATTAAGTTCCCCTGTGCCAGCCTGGCGTGGGGTAAGGGTGATGGGTGGGGCTGGTCAAAATAGAGGTTTTGACTTAATCTTTGGCATAAATATATGTGCATCTCATATACCCAGAAAATACAGATATGGCCAAGCCTGAGTAAGAAGTTATGGCAAAAGAATGCTTTTTCTCACTTAAGCAAGTCTGAGTGTGGAGCCCCAGTGGGTCACATAAAAGAACCTCCAGCAACAGGTGGGCAGGACTCCAGGTTCTGCACCCCATGGAAGTGGCCAGTCCCAGCCACAGGGCAATGTGAGGGAGGGAGGAACCGGGAAAAGGGTGAGCGGCCCTGGCGCTGGGCGTGCAGGGAACAGTAGGGCTCCACTCACCGTTGCCAACGAAGCTCCGGCCCTTCCGGGCCAAGGTCTGCTGCACCTGCTCCTGGATCCGCAGGCTCTTGGCCGCCTGGCCGCTGCGGCCGCTGCTCCCCGCCAGCTTCAGCTTGGCTTCGGAGGGCAAGGCCAAGCTGGAGCTGTCCAGTTGGCCCAGGATCTGCTGACCGAGGACAGTGCGGATGTAGCCGCACTCCGCTGGGGAGCCAGGGACTGCCATGGGGCCGGAGAGGAAACCGAGCCACCTACCAGCCGCGAGACTGGAGAGCAATGCACCGGCGGATTCGGGGGCGCGGGCGCGAGCCCCGCCCTGCAGCCCGGGCTCCGCCCCGAACCCGCCCACTGCCACGCCCCCACGCTGTGAGAGGTTGGGGACTTGGGAGCGCAGTGGAGAGACCCCAGTGCCCACCCTCCCCGTGGTAAGGGGCGCGGCTCCGGCCAGACACGCGCACTGGGATCCGGGCCCTAGAGCCGGCGGGCAGGTCGGCCAAATGCGCAGACACCTGGTGGCTTGAGCTCTCAATCCGAAGACTAGGTGAGGGTGTGAACGCTCTGAGTCCCCACAACCCTGGGTGTCACCTGGGACCCTTCCTGCCCGGGCCGCGCCCCGCCCGTAATTTCTTCTGGCTCTGCCTCGCCCTGCACCTGGAAAGGAGGTTATTTCCGTTCCTGTTGCCGCAGGAGCCGCCCTCCAGGCCCGTCTGGAGAGTCACTTGGGTTCTTGGGCCCCAGCTTGCCTCAGGGATCCTCCAGTGAGCAGTCTGTCTGGTTAGTCAGGCTTTTTTCAGACTTTTGTCAGAAACCTATCTTGATTTTCCTGGACCCGAGGGTGACAAATGGCATTTTGGTCAGGACACTATTGGGAAAGGAAGAGCACTGTAAAGAGAAAAGTGTCAAGAATATGACGTGTGAAATCCAAGACTTTAAAAGAGAAAGTTTTCCCTTTTAGTACAATTTAGGGACTGTAGTTTTTTTGCACAGATGCTGTCCCAGAAACATATGTTGCTCCTCATTGAGAGCTTCTGTTTTCTTTCTCAAATACACAAATTGTACCCAATGCGCTCTTGCTCACCCACTCAGCTCTTATGAACACACCCACACAGAGAGAATCCAATGAGAGGCCCAAGAGCAGAGCTGCCTTTTACTAGGTGAAACTTTTTAATAGCCCTGCTAAGGTTGATTAAAGCTTCTTTATGACAATGCTCTTTGAAAGGGCCCAAGGAAGAGGTCACTTTCAATCCTCTCTTCCACAACTTATATTTATCATGCTATTAATTATCTTTAGGTGCAGTTGGCGACTGGGAACTAGAGAACTAAGTTTGCCAGAATGGGTCCTTGACATCAAAGTTTACTGTCTAAGCCACTCGTCCTGATTATCATCTTTGGATGTGAGAAGCAGAAAGAAAAACATCTTTCCCCAATATTAATTAAGATAATCTCTTTAATGGCATGGTTCATATGCTCACTTTTTCTCAGATTACTCAATTGCCTCAGAACTCCACTTACCCAGGCCTGGAGTGACTGTAGACCAGTTTGCCCCTTCTCCACTTTTCCTCTTCACACTCTACCCTTGCATACACACATAGTGCACAAGTGTTGGGCCCCACTTCTTACATTACTTCCAGGGGATGTAGAGAAAATCAAAGTACTAGAAGCTGGAAACCAATCACTTGGCTAAAGTTGTGTACATTATACTGCTTGAGTGGATGTCAAGTAGATTGCAGGTCTTGGAAGCAACTCCCCCAACCCCTGAACCAGCCTTGTAAATTGTACCTTGTACTGGTACTCAATTATGTACAAAGATGAAAACATCCAATCCTATACTTCTATTTTGTTGAAAAGAAACCGGTGGGCTTAAGGGAAAGTACTTATAGAGTCTTTCAACACCACACTGTTCCTATCCTTCTCCTCCTAACCATCCCCAGGCCTCTTCTGAAAACCCAAGAGTCAATTGCTTTGGGAGTAAATGTCAATGTCTTCTGGGCATTCCTTTTTGTACCTAGAGATACATGATTTACAAGGTCAGTTCTGCCACTCTACAGATTCTTTTAGGAGAGTAGAAATTATATTTGCTTGTTTATTTATCTCAATGAGCCAATCTTCATTTACCTTTTCCTTTTCATAAATTAACTTTTGTATAGTACTGCTTATCCTTTTGTTGCTATTGTTATATGCCATGGAGTTGACTGCGACTTATAGCCTCCTTATTAACAATGGCTCTGAACCTTGCATTATCCTGAGCCAACCTCACCATCTCTGACACAGGTGACCCCATTGCCACAGTCGTCATTATGTCAATCCTTTTCATCCCTTCTGGTCTGACTCTCTACCCTACCAAGCATGATGTCCTTCTCCAAGGACTGGTCCCACCTGGAAACATGCCCAAAGTATAGGAGATGAAGCTTCAACATCCTTGCCTCCAGGGAGCAGTCAAGTTTCGCTCTCTCCAGGACAGACCTATTTATCCTCTTGGAAGTCGATGGTATGTTCAATACTTTTCTTCAGCACCACAACTCAAAGGCATCAATTCTTCTATCATCATTCATTATTTAGCTCTCAGATACATAGGAAGCAATTAAGAAGACCATGGCCTGTATTGGGCACACGTTAGTCACTAGATTGATAGCATTGTTCTGGAGACGTACTTGAAAGCAGATTTTTTTCAATGTAACTTGCCATTTGATTTCCTGACTGCTAGTGCTAAGAGTATTGACTGGATCTGAGCAAGATAAATTCATGAACAACCTCAATCTTTTCTCCATCATGATACTGCCTATTGGCCTGGTTTTGATTATTTTTGTTGTGTTTTTTTTTCTTTGATGTTGAGATGCAATCCATACTGAAGGCTTTAGTCCTGGACCTTTTATAGGAAACACTTTAAGTTTTCCTCAGTCTTGGTAAGCAAGGTTTTCTCATCTGTATAAAACAAGTTGTTGATGAATCTTCCTCCAATTTTGATGCCACATTCTTCTTTATAAAATCCAGCTTCCCAAATGATATATTGTACATATGGAAGTTTGAGTTGCTCTGAAGGAATTGACAAAAAAACAAGGCTCCAGGAGTTGACAGCATACCAATTGATTTATTTCAACAAACAGATACTGCCCTGGATGTGCTCACTAAGTTGTGCCAAGAAATATGGAGGACAGCCAGCTGGTCAACTGACTGGAAAAAAAAAAACCTATATTTGCTCCCATTCCAAAGAAAGGAGACCCAACAGAATGGGGAGATTATAAAACAATATCATTAATATCACATTCAAGCAAGATTCTGCTGAAAATTATCCAAAAACGTTTGGGACAATATGTCAACAGAGAACTGTCGGATGTGCAGGCTGGATTTAGAAGAGGCTGTAGAACTAGGAATATTATCGCTAATGTAAGATGGATCTTGGCAGAAAGCAGAGAATACCGGAAGAATGTATTATCTGTGCTTCATTGATTATGCACAGGCTTTTGACTGTGTGGATCACAATAAGCTGTGGCTGACTTTGAGAAGAATGGGAGTCCCAGAACATTTGATTGTGCTAATGCAAAACCTATACTTGGACCAAGAGGCAGTCATCAGAACAGAGCAGGGAGACACTACATGGTTCAAAATCAAGAAGGGGGTCCGTCAGGGATGTATTTTGTCTCCATACCTTTTCAATCTCTATGCAGAGCAGATCATCCAAGACGCTGGGCTGTACGAGGAGGAATGTGGCATCAGGATTGGTGGAAGAGTCATCAACAACCTGAGTTATGCAGATGATACAACCCTGCTTGCTGAAACTGAGGAGGACTTAAAGTGCTTGCTGCAGAAGGTCAAGGACTGCAGCCTCCAATATGGCTTGAGGCTCAATGTCAGGAAAACAAAGTTTCTCATCACTGGGCCAATTGGCAGTATCAGTATGGATGGTAAAGAGATTGAGATAGTTAACAGTTTTAGTTTGCTTGGTTCCACAGTCAACACTCTTGGTAGCATCAGCCAGGAAATCAAGAGATGAATTGCATTGGGAAAGTCAGCTGTGAGTGACCTCTCAAGAGTACTGAAGAGCAACGATGTCAGGCTGGAGACTAAGGTGCACCTGACCCAGGCTATAGTCTTCACAATTACATGCTATGCATTGGAGAGTTAGACAGTGACTAGGGATGATATAAGGAGAATTGATGCCTTTGAGCTGTGGTGCTGGAGAAGAGTGTTGACTATACCATGGACTGCTAGAAGAGCAAACAGGTTCGTCCTGGAGAGGGTGAAATCAGAATGCTCCTTGGAATCAAGGATTCTGAAGCTTTATCTGACATAACTTGGGCATGTTGCAAGGAGGAATTGTTCTTTGGAGAGGGACATCATGTTTGGGAAAGTGAAGGAATGGCGCAGTAGAGGAAGACTTTCGATGAGATGGATCAATTCTGTGGCTGGAGTGGTGGGAATGAGTGTGTTTGAGACGGCGAGGTTGGCACAGGATAGAAGGGCATTTAGGGCTCTTGTACATAGGGTCAGTATGAGTCGCAAGTGACTCAAATGCACATAACAACAACAGATTGAAAGGTATAGAGAAAAGATACCTCCTTGACACGTTTCTTTCTTGATTTTCAGCCATGCGGTGTTCCCTTGCTCTGTTCCTGGTCTGGGTATAGATTTAACATGAGCACTATCAAGTGTCTGGGATTCCCATTCTTCTCAATGTTAGCCACAATTTGTTGTGACGACATAGTTGATAAAACACAAATAGATATTCCTCAGGTATTCTTTACTTTCAGCCAAGATCCATCTGATATCAGCAATGATATCATTAGTGCCACAGCCTCTTTAAAACCCATCTTCTATTTTTAGCAGTTTTCAGACAATATACTGTTCTAGTCCTATATAGACAATCTTCAGCAAGATTTTTCTTGCACATGATCTATGTGATATTGTTCAATCATTTCCACATACTAATGGATTACCTTCTTTGCGATTGAGAATGAACATGATTCTCTTCCAGTCAATTGACCAGGTAGATACCATTTACATTGCTTCGAATAACCTTGTGAGTACATATAGGGTGTCATCTCTTTGCTGAAATACATCAACTGGTATTCCATCAATTTCTGAGGACTTCTTTTTTGCCAATTCCTTCAGAATACCTTGAACTTCCTCCTCCTTTGCCATTGGTTCTTGATCATATGCTACTACCTGAAATAGTTCTGTGTCAGCCAGTTCAATGTAGTGCAGTGATTCTGTGCTTTCCTTCCATTTTCCTTTGGTGCTTCCTGGGTCGTTCAATATTCTACTCATAGCATCTTTAAGTATTGCAACTCGAGGCTTGAATTTGTACTTCAGTTGATCTAGCTTGAGAAATGC